TTTCAGTGCAGAAAAATTAAGAGATATGTTTTTTACTTGAATTCTTGGGATTATAATGTTATAATTCACACCAAAATCTTGTCAGGGTATTTTAAAAGCAGAAATTGTGTCCCATCTTTAATTATTTAGCCTCTTCAAAATAATGCAATAAATATCATATGTCATAATATTGTGATAATATTGTACTGTGAGATTTGGATATTGTTACATCCCTAGAATATGATAATAAAAGTTGTACCAAATGACTGGTCAAAGCATGTTATAATGTCTTGTTATTATGTATAATATAGTAATATCGTGAGCCTCCCCACCCTGCCGTAAGCTTTCCCATGATATTGCAATAAATATCGTACCGTGAGGTTCATACCATGACAATATCGTATCGTTAGACTAGGATATCGTTACACCCCTATAAAAGATAGATGTTAACTTGAAAGCTACCACTTCATGACATCACAATGTATAGTAGAGCATTTTGAGTGTTGGGAATGTAGACGGACTAATAATAAAGGGTTATTCAAACGTGTGTGTGTGTGTGTGAAGAACATTATAACATGGCTTAAAGCTCACAAGAGTCAAGTTTATGTAATATAGGACCTTAAAAGATTGAAGTTGAGTTATTATTTTAAGATCATACTTTGTCTACCAAATATAACAGTTACTCGAAAAATACTTCCAAATGAACATATTTGGAATGCAGTGGCTAGCACCTTAGTTATGTTCATTTATCTATACACTCTGATCTATCAGTCTTTTTTTTTTGTTTTTTTAAAGCCCTGTCCAATTGAGTCCTGCATGCTGAGTTTCTGATGAGTTTATAAGATTGTGCATGAAACTTTGCAGATATCTATATATCATGATCCACTGCAGCTCTTTGAACAGAAGTGTCTTTGGTATCTGTCCCTGTCTCTGTGTAAAGCACTCTGTTACCACTTTGTATGGAAAGCGCTTATAAATAAAGTTTGATTAGATTTGTTTTATGGTTCTCAGTGTTTCCCAGCTCCAGATCTGAGCTGGGCTGACCGTTACCCACCGCACAGACACACAGGGGCCTAGAGCGAGGGAGGAAATTACAGATTCTATCAGCGAAGTTCAAGAACCCCCCCCCCTCAACCCTCCCTCGCTCGCCTCTCCCTTTTCCTGTGATTCTTTCTCTTTGCTCTTTCTTCTTCTACGCACTGCTGCACAAACGCCAGTCAGCAAGGTATGTGACGCTCCATTGAGGCCGGCCAGCAGGACGTCTCTCACTTCAAATCGGTCCCGCTGTTAGGGGATTTGATCACCCCCCCACCTCTTCCAGGCGACTCTCTCTCTTCTTTCTCCAATGTGTCCCTATGTGCACCTCCGCTGGCCTGGGAATGACTTAGTACATGGAAATTAATCAACACAAAATTATTGGTTGGCACCCTATAACTGTGCCAATGGTTTCACTTTCCAATTCCTGAAACAGCACTTTTCCAGGATTTACTAGCATACAGTCAGTGAGTGTCCCTGACAAGTCCAAGTCCCTGTCTATGCTTTGGTGCTTTTTGGCTACACATAATGGTATAGGTTTTTAGGTTTGTAACTGTATTCATGTTGTGTGCCTATTTTGATTATTCTGCACATTTTAAAGAAATGATGGAAAAAAAGTCTCTTGGCATGTTTATATAGTGTGGGTCATATTTATTTAACTTTTTCAAATGAATGAAAAACCCAACCCCCCAAAAAAGATTAGAATCTGAATTTTAAACCATATAAAAAAAATGATACAGGATAATTTACTGTATATGGTCATATCTAGGGATGCACTGATCCAATACTGGTATCGGACATCTGTGGCAATATGGAACAATATGAAACGTATCCTGGTTGGACATAGACGTTGATGTAATCCTAATTTCCTGGTTGTAGTCAGTCCAAAAAGTCTCATAATAAATGAATTTTTATTTGTACAAAGTTGTTCTGTGGTTACTTGAGCACCATAACACATTTGGATCAGTCCTGTCTTGTTTTAGTTTTGCTTAAAGGAAATAAATGCTGTTTTCATTCTCTGCACTAGTATCAGGTATCGGCAGAAACATAAAGCCATAATATCGGAATTGATATCTTTAAGAGGATAGGTTTAGTAAACAATTATTAAACCTACAACTTACATTATGCATTTTATAAAGCATTAGAGGTGCACTACTGCTTTGCCTGAATGTTTCACAATATGCATTAAACTTCTGTATCACATTTATTCCATTACAAGTGTTTTTATTGCTGGAAAACATGCATTATTACTGAGAGTGGATTGCACTTCTCATAGACATAACGTAATGACTCATAGTATTGTATTAGTTTTGTGCACCGTGCCCTTAGTGACAATTAATCACCCCCACTCTCCATAAGCTGCAGTTTTAGACATTGCTCTGACCCACTTGTCTGGTCACTGCAATTCGGTCATTTCATTTTCAATTTTCCTCCTTCAACACCACATTAACTTCGATGATAAAAATTCTAGTTTAATAGATTCCTGCCATTCAGTTTCCATCAATCGTAATAATGTCGTGCTTCAATGTATGCAGTAATATTTTTTTTTTTTTAAAGTCCTTGAAAAAAAAATCCAAGTTTTGACCACTGTATTTATTCTTAGACTTAGACAAACTATTGATCCACAAATTATATGGAAAATTATGTGGACACAGTAGCTCACACCTCATAATTATAAAAACAAAGAGAAAGGCATAATTATATAAATGTATAAAATTAAATAAAATATAGAATAAAGTAATAAAAATATATCCTCTGCTGCCTTGGAGTAACAATTGAAGTGCTAGTCCTGAGAAATAATATAGTTGGCTTCAATGGTGATTCTAACTAACAAGCTCTGACTGTGAGTACCTCCCTGTGGTCCAGCTCTCCCTCCTTCCTCTCTCCTCCAGGCAGGTACACTTCGTTCTAAGTTTCACACAAAGACATTTTAAACACGCATCTACTTTCTCTCTCTCTTTTCTTTTACCCTGCGAAGTGGGGGGTTGGCTCTCCTGTGGTCTGCAGCTGCTTTGTGGGGCTTCCTCTGCTGTTCTCAAGAACCAAATAAAACCCTATTATAAGTTTGAGGGAGGGCTTTCAGGCTGTGATGTGTACGCGCAGATGAAACGCAGCTACAGTGTGAATGAACAGAAATCGTATATCCGCCCTCTCAACCAGGTGGCTCTCCTGAAGGCTGCTCCGCGACAGATGGCCCGACCCAACAGTCTCTCAATGAAGCGGAGCGTGATGGTAGTGGGTTAGGTTCAGATTTAGCCACAAAACAATACTTAGAGAAGAAAGACAAACAGTTAGGTGGTCTTAAGTGGACAAATAAGGACGAAATTCAAATCTGAAAAGGTGAACTTACTGACCTAAGAGGAGAGTATGAGGAAATTGTTTTTTATGGACTTAATGCATACCAAATAGTACCCTTTTAAACATCTACATACTACAAATTTTTTTTATCCCCCAAAAAAACTTTAAGATGGACTTTTTTGCTGGAATGTATCCCTTCTGCTTGTCTCCATAGAAAATATATTTCTTTGCCGAGCTACATTATTATTTATCTTCTTAGAGAGAGAGTAAGAGGTCAGGTCTGAGAAGAGGCTAGTCCGCACACAGTAAGAATGTGCATTAATAAAGTATTTTGATTAAAGTGTTAACTTAAAGGTTCCATATTGCGCTATTTTCTGATGTTATACTGTTGTTTCCTCATCAAAAACATATCTGGAGTTGTGTTTTGTTTCATTCACACATGTAACACGCAAACCCTGCATATTTTCAAACAAACACTCCTTCACACCTTCACTAGAATCAGATCATTTCAGCCTTGGGATTGTCAATCTCCATTGAACTAAAGGTAAAAATGTAGCTGTTAACTAGAAAACTCACGCTTTGTGACATCACAAACTGGGACAGAGCATTTTGAACTTTGGAGATGTAAACAGACTAAAAGATTACTCAAACATATGTTAATGAAACTAAAAACAACTCCAGGTATATTTTGATGACATGGTTTAAAGCTCACATGAGTCAATTTTGTGTGATGTAGGACCTTTAAACTCCTTTCCCAAATATGGTTTCCTCGCCACAGTCTGTTGCTGCTGTAAGACCTTATTCCCAAACTTCACTGTCAAAGTCTAAAACAAAAATAACTTCGGAAGAACTATTAAATGAAATGTAAAATATGCACTGCCCCAGAATTCGGTCACAGCAGGCTTAGCTGTTTTTCTATTAAAAACTGCAGGTTACCACATATCCATTAGCTGGGGCGTTTTGTGTCTAATGTTATGCAGGCAAGTTTAGAAAGAGTTTTCGGCAAACATGAAAAGAGTAACTTGGCAGCTCTGTAGCCAAATCTACTGAGACGCTGTATTATGCCATAGGATTTCTTTGTTAGCAGGTCACAGTCACGTCACATAAATGTGTCTATAGTAATAAAGGACATTGTACTTGCCCCAAGCCTAGATAAATGGAGAAGATTAGCATGTAAGTAAGTTAATCATGCTTTTGAATTATTACTTAAGTTGGTTGTGTTAAATCTTTATCACAGTTTTACATCAGTCAAGTGGCAGTTTGTGAAGAAAAAGATTGTGGGAAATACTAGTACCACAAGAAATACTATGTTATCAATACAAAAGATTCAATCTCAAATACAGGAACAATTTTTGATGGGGAGTGGGTGGTGGTCAATATTAAAAGTGCAACATTTAACATAAACATCATCGATAGAGTGGTCAGATCCTTGCAATTCCAGCTCCCACAGATGAATGTTGTGTCCTTGGCAAAGACACTTTGCCCCAGTGTCTGTGTACACTGGTGTGTGAATATATGTGTGAATAGGTGAGTGGTTACTTGAAGATGGAAAAGTGCAATATAAAAATGTGACTATTTACCACAGTGAACATGGAAAAAGTGAAATGTTAGGAAAATATTGTTGTTTTATGGAAACAGGTTGGAGGTAGTGATAATTCCGGGAATGTCCCAGTTGGACTTACCATGTGGTACAGTCCAGGTGTCAGATCCAGGTGTGGGACAGTCCTTTGGTTTCCTGCTGAGCCATTTTCAACCCCTCCAGAGCAGATGACACGACCAAAACACAGTCTCTATTCATACTTTGCAGTGACATCGGGCTGGGGGTGTTCCACATGTATCTGTATTGGTGAAATGTTCAGGAGTTACCACGGAGACAGTATGCACAGATTAGAACAACAACAACAACAATCAAATAAGTTTTAAAGCAGTCTGAAAACTCAAGAAAAAAAGCAAAATGGATCAGGAGCCTGTAATCAATATGAGCATTCATGGTGCTGTTGAGGAGTTTGATTTTCAACAAAAAAAGACTGTTGGCTAGTTAGCTTGTTACTGTTTTGTAATTTGAGAGACTTTTTTGAGCACACAAATCATCTCACCTTGTGGTTCCTGATTTAATTGTAGTTCCAATTAAATCAGCTCCTTCTGGCCAGATTATGTTTAAAAAAACCTAAGATTAAAGTCAGAGTAACAGAGCCTCAAACAGAGCAGAGCCTCTAGTTAGCGTCACACACCCAGGGAACTTTGATGACATTATCTGCAAAGTATCAACAATAAAAAGATATCCAGCAAAAGCCATGAGAAAAATCAGCAATAAGAATCTTTGCGAAACAGTTTGTCATTCTGTCAGACTAAAGTTTATGTAGTGTATGTTTATTTTACTCCTGGGTGTCAGACTTGTTCAATGCATGGGTGAACAGGGTGCCGATAGCATCACCCAGCCACGAGCGGGGTAATTCCACCACAGCCACTCCATAAAATGTCTCATGTTACACACTATTTATATCCAATTGCGTGGAACTACATAAACACTCCTTGCCCTAGGTGTTTTTTGTGGCCATTTTCTCCCTCTTCCTTTTTATCATTGGAGCACTAAATTAGCCTTCCCAAGCCACCCACATCCAGATAAGGACTGTCTGTAAGCACTTATCAGTTACTGCAGACACACAACCAAAGGAGCGCTATTTAAACAGTCACTTGTCCGTATAGATAGTACATCTGTTTTCACTGGTTTTGTAAATATTATGAATACAGCATACTGCCTGTATAGTGGGAGGTTTGGGCAGGGTAACTTTGATACATGATATAGAGTGATTGGTTTATGTTGCGTGTGCAGGCTTATGATTATGTAGTCTTAGCTTGAATAGCAAACTAAAATACATATTTCAGGAATCTTTAATGAAATACACGGTCATTTTTATTAATGGGATTGTAAGGTTAACCTGAAGTGCCCATATTACACTATTTTATGATCTATGTTGTTTCCTGATCAAAAACAGACCTTGAGTTGTGTTTTGTTTCTTTCACACATGTTTTAACACACAAACCCTACATATGATGTCTATGTTCTTCGCTCTAACAGATAACACTCTGGTCCACCTTGTGATGTCATGTGGTAATATGGGAAGTGCTCCAACTTTACTAGAATCACTTGGATAATTTCAGATATGGAATTGCCAATTTCTACTGAACAAAATGTAAAAAGTATTTATTCACTTGAAAACAACCGCTTCATGACATCACAAGGTGGAACGGAGAATTTTGAGCTTTGGAGATGCAGACAGACTAATAATAAAGGATAACTCAAAAGTGTGAATGAAACAAAACACACTTACAGGTACCGTATGTCCTTGAGGAAATAAAGGAAATTAAACCATGGCTAAAACCTAACACAAGTCAATTTTGCACAATATAAAATCTTTACCAAATAAGCATTTAATCATTTTTAACAGTGTTTCTTGATACTTAGTCAGAGTTGACTCATGTTTGAGTAATCCTGCAATGGAGGGTTGGAAAATGTCTGGGTTTTTCTTCAACCAAACCCCTATCTCCACCCACTGCTCTGTACATAGTAGTAATTATTTCAAAACTTCAGAGCCAGAGTTGTACATAGGGTCTAAAATATAGTGTATAATATTTTTTCAACAATAAAAACAAGTGCATGAATATGGTGAATTGTCACTATGGAGAAGTGAGGTCTATTTGTTCTGCAGTTTTGGACAGGAAGACAATAGATACTCAAAACATTTCAGAGCGGGGAATAAATCTCATAATATAACACTAAGAGCGCATCCACAAGACACCACATCAAAACAGAGACTAAATCTGGAGTTAAACCTGGAAAATACCAGGACTAAACACAACTTTTGAAAGTGTAATTATGCGTGAATTCAAATATAAAACATAAGCACTGAAGCATCCAAACACATTGATGTTTTTATGTATACAACATGTGGATAAGTCTGTGTACTCCTTGAACAAATACTGCTTATCCCAGTGAGTGAATGAGCCTCAGAGCACAGAATCTGCCTAGCAACCGGCCCCCTTGCTACCTGTAGCTTCTCAGTTTTGGCTTGCAGACTTTTGTGCCCAGTGGGAAATAAACTCACAAGACTGTGGGTTTTATATGTGTGTCAACAATTAATTATGTACTCCCCGGGGGTAAGATTGTCAGGGGCTGATGGCAAACTGCCTATTGCTGCCTTCATCAGACTGTTTAGAAGAAACCTGTGGAGTCGACGTATACCTCTGATTAGACCTGTTATATGTATTTCAGCATGGTACTGTGAAGAGGTTCATGTGAACACTATAGTCAGTGTTGGAAGAAGGACTTGATTTTGTTTCTTAAGTATAAATACAGATACCAAAGCAAAAAAAAATAAATAATAATAATAACTCAAGTAAAAAATGACTTAAGTAAAAATAATTAAGTACCTATTTAAAAATGTACTTAAAGAGTAAAAAGTAAAAGTATTTTGCAAGGTCTTATAAGACTTCAAATGTAGTCACTTTGATAAAGATTTGTGCAGTACAGTACAGTATTTAGTATTTAGTACAGTACTTTTACTTCCACCACTAACAACAGTACACTAGGCCTGTCATGATAAATACTATATCGACTTATCGTTTAATATATGAAAGCCAGAACACTATTTTTGGGGCGTCATATTTATAGTGCATATTTTTTCTTGAAGCTACAAGGAAAATTCTGGTTACTTTTCGGTGATAAGATTTAAGCCGTAAAAGGTTGAATTAATAACTTCTATGACTCATTACAGATGCAAGCTAAGTACTGCAGTGTTTTATTTTGCTATTTATTTATTGAAACTCAAGTTTTTTAACAGTAAGGTAGATTTAGAATTGTTTTTGAGGTTTAAATCTACTATTTCAGCAATATATTGCTCTTCATAAGTTATTGTACAGTACACACAAATGTGCCAGTATGTTTTTGGAAGCAGTCAAATATTTGAACTGTAGCCAATTATTTGCTCTTCAAAGAAAACCACAATGTTCTGTTGCTCCCACCACGTCATTAGGCAACACAGGTAACCTTGTGATTTAAGTATTAAGCAATGATTCATAAAAGAACTGAGACAGTGATGCTATGAACTGAGATACTACCAGTGGTGGAAGCACATAAAAGTAGTAAAAAAAAAAAAAGTAGATATCTGTAGATATCTTAGATTTTCAAATAGATACTTTTGCTTCTCTACTTGAGAACAGGTATCTGTCCTTTCTCTCCACTACATTTTTGGACAGAAAGGTAAAAGTATTTATTTTTATTATTGTCTGAGACCTGCTAAAAAGGCTGAGGGTTTATTTTTAACAAATTACTACTGAAGTAGTTTGAGCAAACAAAAATATACAAATAAAAACAGCTATAAAAATGTCTGATTTAGTTGTTTCTAGTGAACAAAGTTCAGCACAAATCTATATAAAAATCAATACATTTGAAGGATTTAAGACCTCAAAATATGCATCACAAACTTTTTTTACTTTTTACTCTTTAAGTAAATTTTTAAACGGATACTTAAATGCTTTTTCTTCATGTGATCATCTGAGACTTTTCTTGAGTATTTCTTTTGCTCTGGTATTTGTATTTTTACTTAAGTAAAAAAAAAAAGGTGTTTATCGTGTTATTACTGTACCTCCATCTTTGCATCAGAATCAATAGAAGCCTAACATGACTAATCATTCAGTAGAATTTTCTGTGTTTTCTTTTTACAGTATTAAATTCCATGCATTGGTCGCTGAACTGCATCTGTATGGCTAAAACACATGGTAAAAATATGCATGAGAGGATGGAATGTGTAACGACAGCAGCAGTACACATAAATGACACTGATGATGCTCTATTTCACCTTGTGATATCATGTAGTGGTAGTTTTCAACTTAATAGCTACCTTTTACATTTATTTATTAGTTCAGTAAAGATTGACAAATCCATAGCTGAAATTATTCAAATGATTCTGGTGAAGGTGTATGGAGTTTAAAAATACAATGGAGCACTTCTTGTATTACAAGACATCACAAGGTGGAAAAGAGTATTTTCTGTATGATCTTAACCTAACTAGGGGGTTTGTGTGTTATAAACATGTGAATCAGATCAGAAAATAGTGTAATATGAGCTCTTTAAATAAATTATATTCTATCTTCATCTTACATGCATGCCAGGTTATATATCATAGATTTTTTAAATTACTCTTATTTCTTATATGATTACGCCATCCCAAAACACATTTCTAATTTATGAATTTTAAACTTTTGATTTAGGCTATGTCCTCACAGTGTCTGTATCTTACAGTATTGTAAAAATTGTTGCCATGAAGATATATTTGAATGAATATCGTCTCTAATAATAATAATTTAAAAAAAAGACTACAAACTTGCAAAGTGACCTTGTTATAAATATAAAAAGTAAAAAGTAATTTCTACTAAACGGTTTTTCTCAAGACATTTACAGGGACTTTTCAACACATTTCTGAAGGAGTACAAAATAATAATGTGGCTCTTTTCATTGGGGAAATATGAAAAAAAAAAAAAAGATTTTCATTTTTGTTGCTGTAGCCCATCTCTTGAGCACAGTAAGTTTGGACAGGTATTTATCACACTGAGGCGACTAAAAGCTTTATACACACTCAATTCATGTGGACCTGCTTCCCGTATGGGGATAGAGATCTGGTCCCCATGACGTAAATCCTTTATTATTAAAACATGGTTTAAAGTTCAGGGTAACTCTTCATAACATCACATTTAGCCTTAATAATGCTTGAACACAGACTTAAAGGTCTTGTCTTATATCGCAAAGTTGACTCTTGTGAGCTTTAAGCCATATTACAAT